AAACAAGTGTTAAATAAATTGTAAAAAATGGATAACACTCGTGTTCGACAATTAAAATCCATTATGCAAAATCATTTTCAGAAAAATGGATAACACTCGCGTTCGACAATTAAAATCCATTAATCAAAATCATTTTCAGATTAAGTGGAAAACTAAACTTAAACACCGAGCCAAAAAACAACAATAATCACGAAGATTAATTGTAAAAAAATTCAACAGTATGTATTAAAGGATACAAAATCACTTTTCAGCGAACAGAGATTAAATAGATTTAGTGAGTAAAAAGCAAAACAGTATGTATTAAACAACGATATCCGCTGTTTTTCGTATGAATTTTTGAGATTAAACGCTACAAAATCTGACCAGTATGTATTAAAGGATACAAAATCACTTTTCAGCGAACAAAAATTAAAAAGATCTAGAGGTTAAACAGCAAAACAATATGTATTAAACAACGATATCCTCTGTTTTTTGCATGAATTTTTTAGATTAAACGCAACAAAATCTCACTCTATCAGGATATCGTCAAAATTCGTAAAAAAACAGAAATTAAACGCTAGAATCGACATAAATTCAGCCAACAAAGATTAAACAACTATCAACTAACACACGTAAATCAATTAAAACAGCAAAACTCAAGTTCGTAGTAGGATAACTAAACTCATGTATTCTCATATATCAAACATAAATCAAGCTCAACAAAATAAGACTAAGGTTAAATGAATAGAATAATCTACGTACATTGCGTTTTGCTTTGAAACTTCACAAAACTTGAAACAGCACCTGGAAAAGAAAACACAGAATTAGAATAACAACTGAGAAGAAGAAAGTACAAACAAGTGAGGAGAGGAAAGTATAAAAACTGAAAAGAAGGAGTATAAACAGTGAACTTACAATCTAAAAAATGAAAATGGGCGATGAGGTCAAGTGAGTAGAGGGGGTCTATTTATAAGTACGAAGTTTGGAAAAAATTAAATTGAATGAGTGGAGAATGGGTCCCATATATGTAGTTAAATGAATAAGTAGGAATGTGGGTGTGTGTTTAAATGGAGAGAGATTTATTGGAAAGATGATGTGGAGATGATGTGGATGAGAGAGAGTGTTACTTTTTGATTGAATGAACGATTTGTGTGTTAAGGGATGTGGATGCCCTAAGGGCATTCACATCCCTTAACACAAAAATTATTCGTTCATTAAAAAAGTAACACTCTCTCTCATCCACATCATCTCCACATCATATTTCCACTTAATCTCTATCCATTTAAACACACACCCACATTCCTACACATTCATTTAAATACATATATGAGACCCACAATATCCACTCATTTAATATAAATTTTAAATCTGTAAAAGAATAAAATAATATAGTTAAGAAATTAATTTAAAACAAAAAAAAAAAGAAAAACAAGCCTGATGAACGCGTTCAACCTCTTGAACATAATCCTGGGCCCCACGCATTAACTGAATGGTCACAATGCATTGAACATTTATTCAGCGTTTAAATGGAGGAAATGAACAGGCGTTGCGGCTGCCCTAACACAGGAATTGTATTAACGCGTAACTAAACAAATATTAAATATCTTGTAAAAATCAAAAGGATTTGTATTAACGCGAAACTAAACAAATATTAAATAAATTGTAAAAAATGGATAACACTCGCGTTCGACAATAAAATCCATTATGCAAAATCATTTTCAGAAAAATGGATAACACTCACGTTCGACAATTTAAATCCATTATGCAAAATCATTTTCAGATTAAGTGGACAACTAAACTTAAACGCTGAGCCAAAAAACAACAATAATCACGAAGATTAATTGTAAAAAAATTCAACAGTATGTATTAAAGGATACAAAATCACTTTTCAGCGAACAGAAATTAAATAGATTTAGTGAGTAAAAAGTAAAACAGTATGTATTAAACAACAATATCCGCTGTTTTTCGTATGAATTTTTTAGATTAAACGCTACAAAATCTCACCAGTATGTATTAAAGGATACAAAATCACTTTTCAGCGAACAGAAATTAAAAAGATCTAGAGGTTAAACAGCAAAACAGTATGTATTAAACAACGATATCCTCTGTTTTTTGCATGAATTTTTTAGATTAAACGCAACAAAATCTCACTCTATCAGGATATCATCAAAATTCATAAAAAAAACAGAAATTAAACGCTAGAATCGACATAACTTTAGCAAACAAAGATTAAACAACTATCAACTAACACACGTAAATCAATTAAAACAGCAAAACTCAAGTTCGTAGTAGGATAACTAAACTCATGCATTCTCATATATCAAACACTAGTTGTCTCACGCCGTGCACGCACGGCAGACTCAAATTTAGTCTAAAAATATTGTCACCTCAAATTCAGTCTATAATGCATGCATAATTATCTGTTTAGTGAAATTATCATTTGAACTTTTCCATATTTTTTTTCAACTTCTTCAGTAAATTTTATACAACTGCAATTTTAACCGCAACATAATTGAGCATCATATTAACCAAATCTTAGCCCGCAAATGTATACGAACAATCTCAAATGGTTTAATACTCTAAGGAATATTGATGATTTTGTTATTTAGTTACCGATTCATCCTAAAATCATCGAATTATTTTACTTAGATTTAAACACCAACAACTATTGAAAAAATTGATACAAAAGTTGCAACTTTTTTAAAATTTGTAATGATCTTGACGATGTTGCTCACAAAAATATGTCAGAATAAAAAACGGACAATATAAGTATGAATTTATGATTCTAGTTTTGGGCCCTTTTTGTGCACCATAAGTCCAAGGAAAAACTCCAAGTCAACCTAATAAAATTTTCTACCGGCCTGGCCCAATCTGCTCATTTGATTTTTGGGAAGTACTATATAACACGTTAAAATGGAACTGCCAAATTAAAATAACACATTAGTTGAGATATTAAAACCAAACAACATAAATTGCTGCTCCAAATCCACCTAAAAAGCTTGAAGCAATAAGGATACCTTTGGTCTGACTACCTACTTTTTGTTTGTCTACTGCTAGACCAATCCACATAGCCCTAGCAGAACACAACATCCAATTTATCTCAGTCATTGGCACGCAATTGTTGAATTTCGTCAAAAAACCTAACAAACCCATAGTCGTTTAGTTCATGATCCAACCCATCCAATTGAGAAACGTATTTCATGTTCCACGCAGTAGCCTACACTACATGCAGGAATAAATGCTATGCACATCTCAACAAACACATTTTAACCATTGCTTTAGTTTATTCTTATATAAACAAAAAGGAAACTAAATTCCTTTATTAAGCAAACTGGATACTAAAATGACTATTGGGATTGCTATTCAGTTTAGTTTGATTAGTATTAAAGTTGTGGAACACAAGTTTGAAATGTTATCCTAGGAAATTTGCAAGAACTCCATCGCCTAAAGCAAAAGTGGAACAACAAACCAAAGGGAGAGTGATGTAATGAGACAAACAATCATTAGAAGCCAAAGACAAACCATTTGAGCCATTTAATCATGAAATGTTCAAACAACCAACAACGTGGTATCAAATGAGAAAGTAATGCCCATCTTCTCTTTTCTAAACAGATATTTCATATAATTTAATTACAATAGGCGAATGAGGTCCACCAGAAATTTAAGAATCAACTTTATGCATCGTATTTCAGAATATGAAGAAATCAAACTATATGACAACTTACTTTACAAAGTGCTATGCAAAGTAATCTAATACTGTTAAACAAATGCAAGGAAAACAAATGCAAGGAAAGTGTAAATATTTTAACGAAATCAACAAAAGTTACTTATTTGAGTAAAAAGGAAGAAAAAAGCAATACCATTACCCCCAAGACTGCAGCGGTCCAGAGAATACAAATCCCATGATCCACAGCCTTAAACCTGTAATAACAAAATAACATGCCAGATTAAAGAAACACATTAACCAAGAAATATCAATAAACATAATCACAAAAAGTTTTGAGAATGAGATGTATGAACTTACTTGTGTCTTAAATAAGAAGTTTTCTCTAAAGGACCTAGGACCACTGCCTCATTTCCTAGGAATCCAGGTAACCTCAAACTCAAAAGGTCACCTACAACTGTCAGAAACAATATGTTAAGAAGTTGTTGCTTCAAGTGAAAATGAATCAAGCTAAAGAAGCAGACACTCCTATGGTAACTTCATATCAAATGTGCAGATATATTAGAAATATTAGAAATGAGTCTGTTAATGCAACACTTTATAGAAGTGTGCTAGGTGCATTGCAGTACATCACCATAACCAGACCAGAGATAAGCTACTCAATTAACAAATTGAGTCAATTCATGAGAGCTCCTAGACACTTACTGGAGAACAGTGTGCTCAGATACTTGGCTGTTACATCTACCTTTGGCCTCTCAATCACAAACTCATCAAATCTCTTCCACTACACACTGTCCTTGCAACAAAATAATAAGAACAAATTATACCATTATGAGTTTCACGAATCCTCCTCCAAGAAGATGCTTCAGAAATAGTACCTAAATTCATAAAAAAAAAATGTCGGAAACAACCAAAAAAACAATGTTGTACAGGTAATTCATAATTTAAATTTTGGTGCACATTTGCAAAAATATTTGGGCATAAATCCAGATTGCATCATATATCATTCAGTTGTTGCTGAAATTCAAGGGAAGACAAATTCAAAATGTTAATTTGAAAGGCAATGAAAGTATAAACAGATAAAACTTAGAAGAAAATGAGTAAATTCGACTCGCGAGTCACAAATTCGACTCTCGAGTCACTAAAAGCAAAATAAAGCAGCTGAAACAAAAGATAATTTACTCTTGGCCCATGGTTGGTTGCTTGGGGCTGTCGATTAGGCACATCGTCTGATTTTTCCATCATTTCAGAGCTACTGAGCTTATAGAAAGTGTCATGAGCTCACGTTATAAATGGTCGCATTATATTTTCTTCCCTAATAAAAAAAAATAAAACTACAAAATTTCAACCATTGTAGTCACACGCACACAAACACAAACAAAGGAGGACATAGAAGCATTAATAACCTGCATGAAGTGGGTATCCGTATCCTAATCCGCGAAAGTCTCAAAAAAACACCCTCCCTGGCATCCTCGTCAATCATCAGCTCAAGCCTGAACATCCTATGAATCCAGTCTGCGAACATGTTGGGCTCACCCAAGTTGAAGCCTGATGTGTACCGGGACGTTTCAATTAGTACCATACCGGATCGAGAAAGAAAAAATATAGAAAAAATAAGCCCTATCAAAGAAAAATTGAAAAAACCGAAATCAATAGGGATATATATTAAACGAACATGAAAACCCGAAAAAAATGCATCAGGATTTAGGATTTGGGAAATTTGAATGAAACTCACATTGAGGAATATGATATCTTCAGAAATGCACGGAGGCGTCTCTGAACGTTCCCGCATATAATTCGGGTAGAACTTACTCCTTGCTCGAATTTAGCCGCTAAGTCCCCTGTTGGTAGGGTTGTCGTTTAAGGACGATCTCAGAACTCAGTCAACGGCTGAACACAATCACCAGTCTCTAGTCTCTCTGCCTCTGCTCGCCAGTGATCTCTGAATTGGCTTCCTTTAGTTTCATTTGACATCGGTTGACGATGGGTAAGGTTTGATAGGTGACAAAATGGGAGGTCTGGACAACTTTTTGGCAGAAGAGAAATGAGGGGTGTGACAAATAGTTTATCGATTGCTTAATAAAACATAAAATCAATTTATAAAACTAATCATGTTTTTAGATTTCAGAAATCTGATTTGTACCCTCTAAATGGTAGTTGTTCCCCACCTAAAATTCCTGTCCAGCCTCGCCAGTGACCTGTCAGGCTGCAGCAGTCTCTCTGTCACCATCTTCCTGCTCGGCTCCGACACTTTCCTTATCGTCTCCGACCACAAGCGATTCAGTAGTCGTTTACGGTTGATATCTTTGCATAGAGCTTTATATCACAACAAATACCACAACATGAATATTTACTTGCAAAATCAAATTATGGATAACTTTGTTATTCTAGGGATGGAAGTCAACCAAAAAAAGTATCCTTCACACACAATAAGTTGACAGTTTGCATGACAGTATGCATCAGAGAACTAATGAAAACTTTGTTATTCTAGGGATGGAACTCAACCAAAAATTGAACACCAACAAAAACAGATCAAGCTTTAAAATTCCCAAATTCTCTACAGATTAAATCAACAAGAGAAATTGTACATCATATATAGATATAAAGAGAATAGAATTTCGTTCTGAACGAAAAAGGTTATAGAGAGTGTTAATCCTCAAGTGGCCGAACCTACCAAAACCAAATAGTGAGTGGCTAAAATAGATTTTTGCAAATATTGATGCATATATATCACAGACTCAGAGAGGTCGGCCCGATTATTGCCCGCTTGTTCAGTAATTGTAGACTCTTTCCATTATCGGCCCAATGTGACCTCACCACATTTAGACACAATCTACAAAAATCAAAAACATTTTTTTTAGCAAAAAGATAATTTTTGAGGTGGGTTTCACAGGATTTTACAATTTAGACCTGAGATTTGTCACAACGGCATTGTGGCTCTCGGCCAGCGGCGAGAGCTCTTCTCGTCTATGGACGAATCCATTCTTGTAGTCGAAGCAGATGACGTCGAGGAAATCCCGTAGGGATTCGACAGCGACGCGCCTGTTGCAGCGGCAACACTATTATTGAGTGGAATCGAGGCCCGATTCGGAATGGGATTGGAATCAGGCCAGGGAAATGAAGCTTTTCATTTGAGCCACACTCATGCTCAACTAACAAGCAAAAACAACACAATCAAAAAACCATTTACAATACCACAGAATCTTAACCAGGATAAAAATAAAAATATTTTATAAGCTTGAATTTTGCAATCTAAAAAATTCAAGTCTCAAAATTATGCGATAAAATAACGTATCGCCGGGACACCAAAGTCATGTCTCAAAATCAGACACGAAAGTGCGAGAAATTTAGAACAGAAACTATAGTGGAAATCGAACCTCGCCGCCATTTTTTAGACTCGATTGATGATAAAGTATCGCCGGGACACCGTCCATCACAGCCGGAATGTACATCTTAACCATTGTTTCCGGCGCGTTGGTCATCCCTAAGCAAGTGCCGCAGGCGCGCCGTACACGCGCCTTCAATTCCGTCAACCATCATCACCCTCTGTGTAATCAAATCCAACAAGCATAGTGAACTCCTTATCCCCTATGCAATTTCGTCTCTAATTCAGAAAGTGAAAAAATCTGAACATACCTGGGAAAAGAAACAGACGGCAAGCATTGGGTTCAGTCCGGGGAACTGGTTGAAGGGATTTCGGCCAAGGAGGAAAAAACCGATTGATGAGGAATTTCGGTCAGTCCGCGGAGGTTTAGGTTTTAGATTGGAGAGCATAACATGGTTCTTCAATCTCAGGGTCCCTCTTCAATATCTTTTAGTCGGTACCTCTACTTAGTCGTGTAGGTAGCGTGCGAGCAAAAATGGGAAAAGTGTTTGTCAGACGTCTCCTTCAATCTCAGGTCCTTCTTCAATTTCTTTAGTCGGTGTAGGTAGCGTGCGAGGAAAACTGGGAAAACTGGGAAAAGTGTTTGTCAGATGAGCCGCGTGCAGGTCAGCACAAAAAAGGTCATAGTTAATGACCACTGTACCACAAAAAGCACAACAAATTATAATAATGAAAAAATAGACACATGTATGTAATTAAATGAGGATATTTTTGCATGAAAAAAAAAAAGACATTTAAGTAAATTACAAAGTGGACACATGTCATCTCCTAAAGGCACTAAAAATGGACACGTGTCAAGACCACAAAGAGTCTAACTCCTTCATATATAGATAAGAGAGATAAATCAAGCTCCACAAAATAAGACTAAGGTTAAGTGAATAGAATAATCTACGTACATTGCGTTTTGCTTTGAAACTTCACAAAACTTGAAACAGCACCTGGAAAAGAAAATACAGAATTAGAATAACAACTGAGAAGAAGAAAGTACAAACAAGTGAGGAGAGGAAAGTATAAAAACTGAAAAGAAGGAGTATAAACAGTGAACTTACAATCTAAAAAATGAAAATGGGCGATGAGGTCAAGTGAGTAGAGGGGGTCTATTTATAAGTACGAAGTTTGGAAAAAATTATATTGAATGAGTGGAGAATGGGTCCCATATATGTAGTTAAATGAATGAGTAGGAATGTGGGTGTGTGTTTAAATGGAGAGAGATTTATTGGAAAGATGATGTGGAGATGATGTGGATGAGAGAGAGTGTTACTTTTTTGATTGAATGAATGATTTGTGTGTTAAGGGATATGGATGCCCTAACACAAAAATTATTCGTTCAATAAAAAAAGTAACACTCTCTCTCATCCACATCATCTCCACATCATATTTCCACTTAATCTCAATCCATTTAAACACACACCCACATTCCTACACATTCATTTAAATACATATATGAGACCCACATTCCACATCCCTTAACACAAAAATTATTCGTTCAATAAAAAAGTAACACTCTCTCTCATCCACATCATTTCCACATCATATTTCCCCTTAATCTCTATCCATTTAAACACACACCCACATTCCTACACATTCATTTAAATACATATATGAGACCCACATTATCCACTCATTTAATATAAATTTAAAATCTGTAAAAGAATAAAATAATATAGTTAAGAAATTAATTTAAAAAAAAAAAAAAAAAAGAAAAACAAGCCTGATGAACGCGTTCAACCTCTTGAACATAATCCTGGGCCCCACGCATTAACTGAATGGTCACAATGCATTGAACATTTATTCAGCGTTTAAATGGAGGAAATGAACAGGCGTTGCGGCTGCCCTAACACAGCAATTGTATTAACGCGTAACTAAACAAATATTAAATATCTTCTAAAAATCAACAGGATTTGTATTAACGCGAAACTAAACAAGTATTAAATAAATTGTAAAAAATGGATAACACTCGCGTTCGACAATAAAATCCATTATGCAAAATCATTTTCAGAAAAATGGATAACACTCGCGTTCGACAATTAAAATCCATTATGCAAAATCATTTTCAGATTAAGTGGACAACTAAACTTAAACGCCGAGCCAAAAAACAACAATAATCACGAAGATTAATTGTAAAAAAATTCAACAGTATGTATTAAAGGATACAAAATCACTTTTCAGCGAACAGAAATTAAATAGATTTAGTGAGTAAAAAGCAAAACAGTATGTATTAAACAACGATATCCGCTGTTTTTCGTATGAATTTTTTAGATTAAACGCTACAAAATCTCACCAGTATGTATTAAAGGATACAAAATCACTTTTCAGCGAACAGAAATTAAAAAGATCTAGAGGTTAAACAGCAAAACAGTATGTATTAAACAACGATATCCTCTGTTTTTTGCATGAATTTTTTAGATTAAACGCAACAAAATCTCACTCTATCAGGATATCGTCAAAATTCGTAAAAAAACAGAAATTAAACGCTAGAATCGACATAACTTCAGCCAACAAAGATTAAACAACTATCAACTAACACACGTAAATCAATTAAAACAGCAAAACTCAAGTTCGTAGTAGGATAACTAAACTCATGCATTCTCATATATCAAACATAAATCAAGCTCAACAAAATAAGACTAAGGTTAAATGAATAGAATAATCTACGTACATTGCGTTTTGCTTTGAAACTTCACAAAACTTGAAACAGCACCTGGAAAAGAAAACACAGAATTAGAATAACAACTGAGAAGAAGAAAGTACAAACAAGTGAGGAGAGGAAAGTATAAAAACTGAAAAGAAGGAGTATAAACAGTGAACTTACAATCTAAAAAATGAAAATGGGCGATGAGGTCAAGTGAGTAGAGGGGGTCTATTTATAAGTACGAAGTTTGGAAAAAATTATATTGAATGAGTGGAGAATGGGTCCCATATATGTAGTTAAATGAATGAGTAGGAATGTGGGTGTGTGTTTAAATGGAGAGAGATTTATTGGAAAGATGATGTGGAGATGATGTGGATGAGAGAGAGTGTTACTTTTTTATTGAACGAATAATTTTTGTGTTAAGGGATGTGAACGCCCTTAGTTAATCTCTATCCATTTAAACACACACCCACATTCCTACACATTCATTTAAATACATATATGGGACCCACATTATCCACTCATTTAATATAAATTTTAAATCTGTAAAAGAATAAAATAATATAGTTAAGAAATTAATTTAAAACAAAAAAAAAAAAGAGAAAAGAAAAACAAGCCTGATGAACACGTTCAACCTCTTGAACATAATCCTGGGCCCCACGCATTAACTGAATGGTCACAATGCATTGAACATTTTTTCAGCGTTTAAATGGAGGAAATGAACAGGCGTTGCGGCTGCCCTAACACAAGAATTGTATTAACGCGTAACTAAACAAATATTAAATATCTTGTAAAAAGCAACAGGATTTGTATTAACGCGAAACTAAACAAGTATTAAATAAATTGTAAAAAATGTATAACACTCGCGTTCGACAATTAAAATCCATTATGCAAAATCATTTTCAGATTAAGTGGACAACTAAACTTAAACGCCGAGCCAAAAAAACAACAATAATAACGAAGATTAATTGTAAAAAAATTCAACAATATGTATTAAAGGATACAAAATCACTTTTCAGCGAACAGAAATTAAATAGAGTTAGTGAGTAAAAAGCAAAACAGTATGTATTAAACAACGATATCCGCTGTTTTTCGTATGAATTTTTTAGATTAAACGCTACAAAATCTCATCAGTATGTATTAAAGGATATAAAATCACTTTTCAGCGAACAGAAATTAAAAAGATCTAGAGGTTAAACAGCAAAACAGTATGTATTAAACAACGATATCCTCTGTTTTTTCCATGAATTTTTTAGATTAAACGCAACAAAATCTCACTCTATTAGGGTATCGTCAAAATTCGTAAAAAAACAGAAATTAAACGCTAGAATCGACATAACTTCAGCCAACAAAGATTAAACAACTATCAACTAACACACGTAAATCAATTAAAACAGCAAAACTCAAGTTCGTAGTAGGATAACTAAACTCATGCATTCTCATATATCAAACATAAATCAAGCTCAACAAAATAAGACTAAGGTTAAATGAATAGAATAATCTACGTACATTGCGTTTTGCTTTGAAACTTCACAAAACTTGAAACAGCACCTGGAAAAGAAAACACAGAATTAGAATAACAAATGAGAAGAAGAAAGTACAAACAAGTGAGGAGAGGAAAGTATAAAAACTGAAAAGAAGGAGTATAAACAGTGAACTTACAATCTAAAAAATGAAAATGGGCGATGAGGTCAAGTGAATAGAGGGGGTCTATTTATAAGTACGAAGTTTGGAAAAAATTAAATTGAATGAGTGGAGAATGGGTCCCATATATGTAGTTAAATGAATAAGTAGGAATGTGGGTGTGTGTTTAAATGGAGAGAGATTTATTGGAAAGATGATGTGGAGATGATGTGGATGAGAGAGAGTGTTACTTTTTGATTGAATGAATGATTTGTGTGTTAAGGGATGTGGATGCCCTAAGGGCATTCACATCCCTTAAAACAAAAATTATTCGTTCAATAAAAAAGTAACACTCTCTCTCATTCACATCATCTCCACATCATATTTCCACTTAATCTCTATCCATTTAAACACACACTCACATTCCTACACATTCATTTAAATACATATATGGGACCCACATTATCCACTCATTTAATATAAATTTTAAATCTGTAAAAGAATAAAATAATATAGTTAAGAAATTAATTTAAAACAAAAAAAAAAAGAAAAACAAGCCTGATGAACGCGTTCAACCTCTTGAACATAATCTTGGGCCCCACGCATTAACTGAATGGTGACAATGCATTGAACATTTATTCAGCGTTTAAATGGAGGAAATGAACAGGCGTTGCGGCTGCCCTAACACAGGAATTGTATTAACGCGTAACTAAACAAATATTAAATATCTTGTAAAATCCAACAGGATTTGTATTAACGCGAAACTAAACAAGTATTAAATAAATTGTAAACAATGGATAACACTCGCGTTCGACAATTAAAATCCATTATGCAAAATCATTTTCAGATTAAGTGGAAAACTAAACTTAAACGCCGAGCCAAAAAACAACAATAATCACGAAGATTAATTGTAAAAAAATTCAACAGTATGTATTAAAGGATACAAAATCACTTTTCAGCGAACAGATATTAAATAGATTTAGTGAGTAAAAAGCAAAACAGTAGGTATTAAACAACGATATCCGCTGTTTTTCGTATGAATTTTTTAGATTAAACGCTACAAAATCTCACCAGTATGTATTAAAGGATACAAAATCACTTTTCAGCGAACAGAAATTAAAAAGATATAGAGGT